TTGACTATTTATTTACTTTGTCAATTGAATTGTTAGCGCAGTGGAAAAAGGTACTAAATATATCCATTGCTTGGCATGACTCGTATTTCCTAATTCTTCATGTTTCTTTCTCCCTCTTTCTTCTTTCTTTCTTTTCATTTCATACAAGCTTCCGATCTAAATGCGTTCGATAATTCCATTTGGCAGCTCTATCCCTTTCAATGCGCTTGCCAGTTTCCTATTTTTAATTTTGACATTTGGGTCTTTTAAACTCCACTACATTTTCTGCCTTATGTTAATCGTTATAAGGTCCATTATCATTTTAATAGCTATCCAATTATATTGGCTATGTGTTTATCGGTTTTATTACATCATGAGGAATTAGACCACATATTGTAGTTAATCCCATTATTCAGTCTAAATAAATTAATAGCCTTACGTAAGTAAAACAAAAATATCCAAGTTTTTATGTCTTCTTATTTGTTCATTAGTAAAAAACTTAATACGTATGTCATTTAATTAAATAGATATTATGTCTATTTATGTCTAGTTTTTAAATTTTATCTCACTGGCAATCATGTGCAATGGCTAAAAAAAATACGCGTTGACAAGGTCACTATCAAGGTTAAACACGTGTAACATTCACATTGCCAAATATATGTAGTACATAAACGAATATTTTAAAAGGTAAATTGCTTGTCAGGCTAGATTTTTCCCGCGACTTTGCGTGGAATTAAAAAAGTAAGTTAAAAGATAAAATGTTCAAGTAGGATGATTCTTTACGCCTTTTCACTCTCGTATATTCTAATGTTTTTAGTGTTTATTTTTATATAGTGATTTTATCATCTTACGAGGTCATTGTCCGGCCAAGCTGTTTATAAAAAAAAAAGTTGTAAAGCTTTTTTATTTTCTTACTGAAGTTTTCTGTTGCCAAGATCAGAAATAAAATTGAATAATACATTGTGTTGAACAAAAGTAATTTAAAGCCTATGTTGTTAGGTTTTTTTTATTTATTTTATTGGGAACATTTATAGATAAAGATTTCGGAGAATGTTGCCGAATATATGCATTACGTAACTTGTTAGTTAAAATCCAAGTTCACATATAAGTGCTAAAAAACTCATATAGTGTAACTGGATGTAGTTATTTGTTACGTGTTATTTTACAATATAAATAAAACCCAAGTAGTTTTTTTATTTAACTTTGGTTAAACAATCTACACATGCTCAGAATAATCATACTTCATACTTATATTATAAATGAGAAAGTTTAAATGGATAAATGTTTGTTAGTTTGTAGCCTAAACGGCTGGATTTCGGTGAAATTTGATATAGATGTACAGGATAGTCAAGAACAGATAGGCTACTCACTTTTGTTATTTTTTTCAATCCACACGGACGGAGTCGCGGGCAAAAGCTAGTAAATCATAAAAGTGAATTTGTTTTAGGTGGCTCTAAAGAAATAATTTCTTCTTTTAAAACTTTTACATCGTATGTTTACTAACACAACCAAAGTTGCATATAAATAACTCGTAGTTTGAAGTTCTAATTTTAAACTATAGGTGGCGTTATGGGCGTAAAATAAATTGTTGAAAAACGCCGAGTAAAGATTTGTATGCTTAGATAACTCGAAATAACCCATGTTGAGACTGCGGAATACAAAACATTTGTGTCTTTATTTTTTTTAAACAGAAGAGAGAGATGGCAAAGAGGAAGTCCGAAGAAAGTATGGATGGATTATGTGAAAGAGGATATGCTTAAGAAAGGAGTGGATTCAGATTTGACGGCTGATAGAGATGTATGGAAGAGCACATACTGTACCGACCCTCCGTAAGGGATAAGGGCAAGAGGATGATGAAGAGTGAGATGGCATGTATTTTGGTATATGTTCCGGCAGTGAAATAACTCCACCCAATTCGTCGCAGTGGAATTTGGGTTAATAATATTAATGTAGTTTTGTTTCTTTGAGGGAATCTGTGCTAAAATCTTACTAATATTATAAATGCGAAAGTTTAGATGGATAGATGGATGGATGGATGGATGTTTGTTAGCGTTTGTAGCCTACACGGCTGAACGGATCCATGAAATTTGGCACAGGTTTAGAGCATAGTCTGAAAGAACACATAGGCTACTTTTATCCCGGGAATAGTTACGGTCCCCGTGGGATTCATTAATTTGGTTTTTTAATGTTTACTCGATCATTCTGCAACGATTCAACACATCTTATTGAAATTTGGCATAGATATAAAACAAAGTCTGGAGTACACAGGGGACAAGCTTCATCCCCGAGAAATGTCCGGTTCCCGAGGGATACCTAGCTTTTTGTAATTAATATAGTTTGTATGTTTTCGAATACCACGCGGACGAAGTCGCGGGCAACAGCTCGTTAACTTATAAAGCGGTAGTTGTTTTCACAAAACGATCACCGTTTTGTAATCAATAGTTACATACTTATTAGTAAATTAAAACATACTGTATATTGTAACTGTAAGTTCGAAAATCCTTTAAAGTATCTCGGATAGGGGAGTCTATTGTAGTCGTTATGAAGGGTGCAGATATGCGTGATAAAGTGTGCATTTAGGGAGGTTTATTGATTTCTCGCCAAAAATGAATGAAAGCAAAGGAACGGGGACTTTATTAAATTTAGGTTTTTATTCTCACCAGCTTCATATTCTGTAATTTATAAAACTAAACAAAAAGTTAACAATGAATCATTACTAGATTTCTGCATATCAAAAAGTGTTACTTAGTTCCGCCTCTGATTCAACCGACAGCTTACATCATCTAAAAATTCTGGCAGTAACACAAAAAAGGGGTCGGCAACATTTTTTCCTAAAGTAAACTAAGTAACCAAAGTGTCAAGATTCTGTCGTCGGAACAGCGCAACGCAGTGCGCGCGCAACTCCGCAAGCCGGCGCTATCGAATGAACCAGTCATTTTCCTAACCTCAAAAACGATCCACTGCTAAAACAGCTGATAATACACGTTCTACAAACAAAAGTTGTTCAATTAAAACATGACAAAATCAACGCGAGGGACGTCTAGACACGGTGGAAGCCGTTACGAAATTGTTTAAATTTAGAATCGCCGGTTTTGTTTTTTTTTTCGTGTTTCGATTTACAGTTTTCTCCCGTCCATTCAGTTTTCAGCCAGCACAGACTGTGTGAATACGTTTTGGGTTTCCGGAATTTTATTTAATCTGTAAATTGACTATTTATTTTTGTAGGTTACTTTTAGCAAAATGTTGGATTTTTGTTGTGTTTAAGTGTGATTGAGTTTTGATATTATAAACCATGATATTATTAAGTGAATTGTATATAGTGTTGTGATATAAACAATTGTGTGTACAATGGAGGAATACGATTACGACTTTGCCTACGAGTGCCGGGTTGGTATACACTATATGCATATGTTATATTTTTAACATTTAATTTTCTTATCATTCTTAAATGCATTTTATGATGAAAAATATATAATTGTTCTGTTGTAAATTATTTTGGAGCATACATTGTTGAAATAGAACGTATAAATTACACTATTTTAATGAGAAATTCAAAGAATCAAAGTCCAAAATTATTCCATTGTTTCAAATTGTAATATCTTTTTAATTATGGAAATAATTTATTATACAAAACTATATTTGATGGTACTCCTTTTGTGTTGTATTATTATTCCGATCACGTTTTATAACAAACGTAGAATTATTATCAATACGTTCTGTCTGTCTTTTAGTCCATTTGTTTTAAAGTCTGCATTATAAGAAACCTTTAAATTAGTCAAATTGAATTAAACCTTTAACCAAATTGGGTCTTTAATTTTTTTTCGTTCATCTAAGAAATTCGAAACTCTATCGACTTTTTTAAGTTAAATTTTTAAAATTAAATATAAAAACGACTTGATATAAAGGCCTTTAAAGAAATTTACTGTTCCACTTTAATTATGTATACGATTGCAATTCAAGTCGCCATATGCTTTACAAACCTGAATTATTTCAAACAAAACCTGTTTGGGTTGAGCCATACAAGTTAATGTAAATACGCAGTTTAAATGTTTGTCCAGTAACCCTTAAGATGTACTGATTTCTTTGCCGAAAATTATTAGATAAGAATAACGCTGGGTCACTGCCGCACCCAAAAATATGCAGATGTATAGGAAAGCTGTATTAGATAACAAGAGAGGCATAGAAAGAGTTTGTAGTATGAAATATGCAGGGTTCTTACAAACCAAAAGGTTTAAGAAAATAAATAAATAAAATAATAAATAAGTAGAGTTTTTAAATAATTATTAACTACCATAAATATTAACGGAAGGATTGGTTTTGATGCGTAAATAAATTTTTTAATGCAATTTTATGACCATTTCTAGCCCTTTTTTTATGGTGTCGAGGGGAAAACGTTTAAAAGATACCCTGCCTTCTTGGGGGAAGGCAGGTGTATGTAGGATTTCACCTACTAAAACCCCCTCGGTGGCCATCCTGTAGTGACATTAACGACGGTTCTGGAATCTCCAAGGGACACACCGGAACCTTCGGCACTCAAACTCTCCCTGTGGCAAACATTTCTAGCCCTATAGCATGCAAAGCGTCCAACTATATGAATTCAACTCCACAACTGCATTCTGCCAGTATCGGTGTCGACTTATATTGGTGTATTCTGGTTATTTAATCTTTGAAAAGATGGACACAGAATAAACTGTTATTTCAACTTTAAAGATTTCTTAATTTCTTAATTATAAGTATTGGTTGCAGAATATTAAAGTTATAATTTTTATAAACATATTGTTTTACATGTTAAATTGAATTCTTTACAGTTTTTATGTCAATTATCAATTATTTTTACACTCTTGTTACATAAAATGTCCGATTGTAAATTTGTGTATCCAACTAGTTGTTTAAGTTTTGCTGCTAATGTACCTTAAAAATTATTGAGTTACAGTATATTCAATCTAGAATAAATATAGACATACATTATTCATTACACTTAAACAAAAGAAATGCAAAATATTGTTTTGTGTTATTTCCAGCGGCTCGTGGAGGCAATGGCACCAAGATCGGCGAGATCTTTCCGCCAGGAATTCAATATGCAGGATGTAGCGACTACTGAACATACCTACACTACCTACACTACTGAAAAGTAAGTGAATACCTAATAATCATGTTATTCCTACGTTGTATGAATCTTATAGTTAGTTATTTGTTCTGGTATATTTCAATTTGCTTGTTTCCTTAAAACAGATATGTGAAAACCTCACATTCGACGGAATTCGACGGTCAAGGACCAGTAAAATCAATGGCCAATGGCAAATTAAGTTCGCCTAATTACTCCACAAAAACAATTATAACAGAAGAAGAGAGACCCGATGTTAGAAAGCTCAAACGGGTGCACAAAATGTACGAAGGACCAAATATAATAGAGTCACGGGGTATTATTCACCCTGAAACCAGAGAAATTCTGACAGTCGGTCAAGCGATCAGTATGAGAATCCTTGATGTTCGCACGGGAAGACTTCTGTCGTCGCCCGAAACAAGACAGACAATGACAATAGAACAAGCCGCACAAGAAGGTCTCATAGACCCTAAACTAGCTGCGAGGCTAACAGGACCTTGTGGCATGACTGAAGACGGAAATGAAGTAACTCTTTTAGAAGCTATTCAAAGAGAACTCTACGATGCTGAACAAGGCCTGTCAGATCCAGCAGAAAAGAGAATAAAGGTAACTGTCGAAGGCGAGAAGAGTACTACACAAGGAATGAGTATTTCGGACGCGTTAAATCAGGGTCAGGTAGATTTACAAAGAGGCCTTTACAGACTACCAAATGGTACTTACATCACGATAGCTGAAGCGTACCAACGCGGCTTCCTAATATACAATGAGATTATCAAAATTAAATCAAGCGCTTTGTCTCTTAGCGATGCGATTAGTCAAGATTTAGTAGATAATAATGGTTGGATATTGGACAGGAATTCGGGCGATAGATTCCAGTTAGATGTTGCCATTCGAAACGAATTAATTAATACCGAATTCAGGGAAATAGTTGATCATAAAAATGACACCAAAATAACGCTTGCTGAAGCTATAGAAAGAAATATTATCAACACGATACATTCGAAATACATTCATAATGTAACGAAAGAGAAGTTCAGTTTCAAAGACGCTGCCAGTAAACGTTATATCTCTAAACCTATGACTCTTAAAGATGTCTGTGATAATAATTTAATGACAAATGATGGTAAAATACTGTCTCCTGCTAATAGAGCACCTCTAAACATATTAGAAGCTATTTCCGCGGGAGTTCTCGATAGTGACAATGTAAATTGTATATCTAACACGACTACGGGACAACTTTTAACGTTGTCTGAAGCTTTAGGAGCTCGCATCATTTTACCTGACAACAAATTCCGCGACAATTTAACAGGTGAACTTTGTACTATACCCGAAGCAGTAGACCGTGGTCTTATCACCTCTGTTTCACAAAGATCTATCTTTGACATCGACGGATTTAGGGATCCCAAAACCGGCGAATTCGTTTCATTCAATACTGCCTTAAGTAAGGGTAATTTAAAATATGTTAACGGCGAAACCTTCCTCAAATCCGAAAGCGGTGATTTTGTTTACCTCGAAGATTGCACTAAAGTGTCAATAATTCGTCCTGAAGTTTTAGAGATGTTTAATCGTAAAATAGGCGTTTTCGAAAAAGATAAGGAACTTTCTGTGTTAGACGCGGTTTTCAAAAACATTTTAGACCCTAAAACTGGTAATTTACTTGATGTTACAACTAAGAAACCAATACCTTTCAATAAAGCTGTAGAAATTAATATGATTACACCGGAGGGTGCCGCTTTACTAAATTCACTTCTTAATATTACTCTGACACTACAAACAGTTACAAAAACTGTCAAACGATACGTAACGGTAACTAATACAAACACATCTCAAAGGTCTGACTCTTCTGTTACATTCACTGAAGCTATTCAACGTGGCCTTATAGACGAAAATACTCAAACTTTTACAGATCCCACAACAGGAACTGTCTTTCCTATACAACAGGCACTCGACGAGGGTTTGTTAGGCGTAGAAAAGAACGAACCCCGTGTTACACGACTTTCTGATCGTGTTAGCAAAAAAGATTTAGTCCCCGGTCAAGTTGTAGAGTTGAAAATTACAAAGAAATCATTTATTAAAGATCTTCCTCCAAGTCCGGAAAGCAAATTGCAAAATGATGCTAAGCCAGAAACTATTAAAAGCCCGGAACATGTAAGGACAACTTTCCAGCCTCATCAAGGTATAACACACGAAATTAAAACAGTTACATCTAAATCTACATCTATAGAACCTACAGTCACTTCTCTTACTATCAAAAAGAATACGATAGAGTTACCTAATGGTGGTTGGTCATTAAAAGAAGCAATTCAGCAAAAACTTTTTGATCCTTCCACAGGTGTTTTTGTTATTCCTGGTACCGATAGAGTTCTGGACTTAGAGGAAGCCTTAAAACTTAATATTATAAATCCAGAATCCGCTAAAGTAATTGACCCTAAAACCAAAAAAGAACTCACGTTGCATAAAGCACTCACCTTGCATATCCTTGATTCTACAGGTCGTTATAAATACTTAACAGAAATCATAACTATGAAAGAGGCCATTGAGCGTAAATTTATTATTCTAACACAAATTACTCAATCTACATCGGTTCATAAAGTCATAACAATAACCTCTATGGCTGGCATGCCAGACAAAATGGAAATATCTGAACCAGGACAAAGTGTAGATACAGAAGAACAATCGGTACTAGAGCCAGTACAAGTTATACCCGGCGTCATATTTGATCCTGCAACCGCCCTTACTATTTCCACTACGTCGGGAATATCAGAAAACATTCTAGAAGCAGTGGATCGAGGTTTAGTTCCGACAAATTCTGTGAAAGTTTTAGATCCAAATAGTGGACAAAGGATTTCTCTAAAACAAGCAACTGAAAAGGGAATAATTAACAAACGAACTGGAGAATATAAAGATATGTCTGGTAAAAAAATTACCTTAGCTGATGCGACCAAAATTGGTCTTATTGCCGTTGTTGGAGCTCCATTAGTTGCGGCTTCTAAAGTGATTCAAGTTGTAAAGAATACAATGGTAAGAGATCCTAAAACAGGTGAAGATGTGCCCATGGAAGTAGCGTATGAAAGAGGACTTGTTGATGATTCGACATATAAGAAATATGAAGATTCTCTTAAAGATAAATCTGTGTCACCAACTCCAAGAGTTGATTTATTAAGTGATCGAGAAATTTACGAACGTGGAGTAATTGATCAAAATGTACAAGAAAAAACACAAACAACTTCAATGACAACGACTACTACCGTATCACAAATTGTTACAACTACAATATTAGACCCTAAAAGTGGTGAAACTTTGTCTATCCAAGAAGCATATGATAGAGGTTTGGTTGACCCTTCTACATACATGAAATACAGAGATTCGCTGAAAGATGGTTCCCCAGATAAATCATTTTTAGAAAAAGAGAAAATATCCGAATCGAATAAAACTACATCAGGAACACAAAAACCTATGTCTGTTGGTGCTGCTGTGTCAGAAGGATTTATAACAGTAGAATCAATACAGAATAGTTTGTTAGCTGACACAGTCTCCAAACAATTCCTACCTGCAAAGACATTAAAGTCGGCCAGTAAAGAAGATGTTATAGAAATTGATGAGAAAGCTTTAAATAAAACACCTAAGTATAAAATTAAAACCGTAAAAGAAAATGCTAGTGAAACTTTGGATTCAAAGCCAATTGTATTGTCTAAACTTAGAAAACGGGTTATTACCCCCTCAATAGCTCTTGAGAAAGGATTAATAGACGAGAGTACAGCTGATATTCTAGATTCTGTTAAGCTGTATAAAGACAAGAATGGTATGCCAATCACGCTTAAAACGGCAATAGAAATAGGACTTGTTGAACAAAATAAAGGAAAAATAATGGATCCTATTCATGGGTATTCCTATTCAATTAAAGAAGCCATCAAGAGAGGTATATTAGATGAAGAATGTCAAGATGAAGTATTAATTCCTATTGCTAAAAGTTTATCTATAACCGAGTTAATGGAACAAGGGTTATGGGATGATAATACGAAAAAAATTATACATCCTGAAACAGGTAGTCTTTTGACTCTTCGAGAAGCTATTATTTGTGATATAATTGATCCTTTATCTGCGGTGCAAGTAGCGCCGGGCAAGCTTATTACCCTTGAAGAAGCAATTGAAAGAAATGTAATCGATACGGATAAAAATATTGTAAAAACAAATAGAGGTGTTTTGGACTTGGTATCAGCCGTTAATGCAGATATCTTCCCGGAAGTTAAAGACAAACCCTTAGAAAAAATACCTTTAGCAGGAATGACTCTTGCAGTTGCAATAAAACGCGGAATAATCAACCCTACAAAAGGTCAAATGAAACATCCCCTTACTGGTGAAATAATTCCCCTAGATGAAGCAATTGAGAAAGATTTATTAATGGGAATTCCTTACCCACAATCATCTAATACAATTCCACTTAAGGATGCGATTGCAAAAGGTTACGTTGATCTCTCTAAATATACTTTCACCAATCCAATTACAAAGGAAGTTATCACTGTAGACGAAGCAATGGCAAAGGGGTTGTTGGCTATCAAACTTAATCCTGAAATATTAGACACAACTGGAATTGTAACCACTATCACAGAAACGTTTACATCACAGCATACAGTTACAACTAAAATGGTAGAGCTTCTTGCAGATTACGTATTGCTAAGCGCTAATGAAGTACAGAATACAAACACAGGAGAAGTTATTTCCATGGAGGAAGCGCGAAGAAAAGGTATAGTAAGAGATGAACAAACAAATAAAGAACATTTCATTACTACTGATACTAATATTAGTTTCAATGATGCTATTATGTTGGGATACATAGATTTAGAAAAAGGTACCTTTACAGATCCTAAAACGGGAGAAACAGTTACTGTTACTGAAGCAGTTAACAGTGGTTTATTAAGTACTGAAGTTCAGTCTTTGACCGAATTAGCGAGCAAAACTAAAGATTTGGAGATGCTCGATCTCAATGAGGCGTTTGAACTTTTATTTGATGAAAAAACTCAAAAATTCAGGGATCCGGAATCTCCGAATAAAGTAATGACGTTCAAAGAAGCTCTTGAAAAGAAAGTAATAAATCCTGATTCTGTGATATATAAAATTGGTACAGATAAACCCATAACTCTTCAAGAAGCTCTACATACGGGTGTTCTGGACAGCAAGAGCGGAAAGGTTAAAGAACCCAGCACTGGTAGATCGCTAGATATTAAAAAAGCAGCTAAGATGGGATTATTGGCTGTTGTCGCAGCGCCAGTGTTAGCTGGGATGGCAGTTGTACAAGGAGCGAAGGCAGTCACAAGTCAAGTTATATCACCCAAACGAAAGATAGAAAAAGATATGATTCCAACAGAGGCTGCAAAATCAATATCTGGAAAAGATAAAAAGAAAGAAGACGATTTGATCATATCTAAACAAATCGTGCCCGACAAAGATAATCTTGAAAATAAAGGGTCTAAGGATAAAATTGCTGTACAAGTTACACAAAGCGAAACTATTCCTCTTAAAGAAGATCAAATTATTAGTCAATTGAACGATGTAAAGCCAAAGCTTTCGAAAAAATCTGAAGATCAACCAAATTCAAATAAGACTTCATCGAACGAAAAGTCAAGCCTCATGGATTCCTCTAAGAATTTCTTAGAACAAGAAGTAGCGAAGTTAAACGAAGAAAAATCCACAATAAGGTATGAAGTAACACCTGGGAAAGAAGAAAAGAAAGCAAATGAACCTGGTTTGAATTTAGATAAACCTGTGAAGCAAGCAATTAAGGAACCAACAAAACATGATACTGTTCCACATGAAGTGATAAAGACTACTCAAGATGACTTGCGTGGTAAAGAAGATGCAAAAGCACAAGTTTCAAGCAAAAATGACATTGTGATATCAGAAGAAAGGAAGAAATCTGAAGGTGATAAAATCTCTGTTACTTTCGAGAGTCATGAAAAAGTTACTAAGGGTCAACCTACTACTATCACAGAATTGCCAACTACTAAAGATTTTACCGTAATTAGTAGAACTGTTTCAACTAGCCTTCCAACTGAGCAAATTAGTGAGCGCATCAGCACCGATGTAACATCGGTTACTAAAGTCACAACAATTGAAATGAGCCAAAAACAATCGTCTACCTCAACGGTTACTAGCACAGTAAGCGTATCTTCAAAAGTCTATAAAGATTCTTTCGATGATAGGAACGAAGATCAAGTCGATAAGGTAATAATAGAAGAAATAATAGAAGATGATGAAGCGAAACCTTTACAACTTGATAAACCTGTCGGTCCTGACCAAGAAGATAAAAACAAAGAAAACGAGGAAAGTGTCAAAATAACTGATGTGACCGATTTGAACAAATATGATCAAACTCTAGAAGTAGCGACAGGAATAATATATGACCCCAAAACAAAGACCATCATTTCCCTTTCTACCGGGTCGGCTGAAGACATTGCAACCGCAGTAGATCGAGGTACTGTTTCTACGGAATCAGTTAAATTTTTAGAACCAATTACAGGTAAAGAAATGACCTTACAAGAAGCCATTGATAAAGGTATTGTGGATCAAAAAACAGGTCAATTTAAAGATAAAACTGGAAAATCTATGACTATCAGTCAGGCAGCTCAAATCGGCATAATAGCTGTTGTTGGAGCGCCTGTTCTAGCGGCCGCTAAATTGATTGATGTTGTTAAAAATGCAGTTACTTCTGACGATAAAGACAGCAATAAAATAAGTTCCAATGTATCAGAAACGAGTCTATCTCAAAAACCCGAAATCGATCAAAAAACAAAGGGACAAGAAGTGAGCGAAAATAATAAAATAGGGCAAGACGCTTTATCTAGTGTTCCTCAGGTAACTAAGACTAAAGAAAACGAATTATTAGGCGCGGAAAAAGTAATCCATACACAAAAAGATACAAAAACCACCTCTGCTTCGTTTATCGACGCTGAAAAACAGCCGCTTAGGGATTTGGATGAAATTACAGAACAAAATGTAACGAAGGTTAAACCCGAACAAGTAAAAGTTCTTTACGAAAACATTCCTTTAATTGACGCTATTATGGAAAGTAAAATAGAGCCTAAAGTGTGTAGAATTATAATAAATGGTGTCGAGTCTCCACTTACAGTACAAGATTCATTAGAACAGGAACAAATTAGTAGGTTTACTCCGGTAGACGTAATATCCAAGAATTGTGTTATTGTTAGAGAATCTAAACCAAAATATAGTATTGCGATTTCACAAAAGTTAACTCCTGAGGAACTTTCCGAAATGGGAGTTTATGATATAGAAAAACAAGTATTTTTAAATCCGGAAACTGGAAGTAAACTTAGTTTTGAAGAACTTGTTTACGGTTTACACATTTTCGATCCGGAATCCATTTTAGTTAAAGATTTAGGTTCCAAATCTGATAGTTACGTACCTTTCGATGAAGCACTATCTAGGCATATTATTGACAAGACTACAGGTCACATGGTAAATCCCAAAACAGGTAAGCGCGTGTCGTTTTGGGAATGCGTTCAAATAGGTTGGATAGTTGAACAGCCTGAAGACGTTTCGGTTACAGAGCAAATAACAATAGAAACTGCTTTTGAAAAAGGTTTATACAATCCAAAAACTGGTGAGATCAAAGATATTAATACAGGTAAATTAGTTCCAATTGGCGAAGCCGTCGAAAAATGCTTAATCGATCATGAATCTTTGTTAATAAAATTGCCTCGTTCGAATGAAAGTGTAACATTATCAGATGCAATTGATCGGGGAATCGTTGAGATACATGAAGGCGTTATAACTATTATAGAAACTCGCGAAACGATTGAAGTGTCCATTGCTATACAACGCGGAATAATAACTATTACTCGACGACCTATATCTATAGAAGCAGCTATCGTAAACGACATGTACGAACCGATATCGGGTAAAATAAAGGACGCAGTCACTGAACAATTAGTTTCTGTAGAAGACGCTGTTGATAGGAACATTGTCCATCCAACAATATCTGAAATTAAGGATACTGCTTTAGAAAAATTCATTCCACTTTCTGAAGCTCTTGATAGTAAACTAGTAGATCCCGAGACTGGTAAATATAAAGATAAAAAGACTGGTAAAGACATTCCATTAGACGATGCTTTGAGAAAGGGCCTTATCACAACTAAAGATGTAACGTTCTCATTGTTCGATATTATAGAATTAGGTTATTACTCTCCGGACACCGGGAAAATATTAAATCCGAAGTCAGGTCAAATAGTCACCGTAAAGGAAGCTATAGAGACAAGTCTAGTTGATCCATCTGACGTAAAAATTAAGGATGATAAGTCTGAAGCGGTTATTCCATTTAAACAAGCTGTTACATCTGGTCTGTTAGATTTGAAAGAAGGTATAATGACCAGCCCTGTTTCCAATCTTAAAGATGCATGTGAAAAAGGTTATCTGTTAAGTGATAAAAAGCCAATGACGTTACAAGAAGGGTTAGTTCAAGGTTATTACGATCCAGATACAGGTCTTTTAACTATAAATAACGTTACAATGACACTAGATGACGCTATAAAGATAGGTAACATCAATCCGGAGGCGTTGACAGTTAGGGACTCTGGATCCGGAGAAATAATTACATTATCTCATGCTATTAAAGTAGGTATTATAGATTCAAAGGAAGGTAAAGTTAGGGATCCAATACAAGGCGATAAGATATCACTAACCGATGCTTCAGAACGCGGTTTAATTGTCCCTGCGAAACGTAAACTTAGTTTACCAGAGGCGGTATTCAAAGGTTTCTATGATGCTAAGACTGGTAAATTTTTACATCCCCAATTGAAAGACAAAATACCAACAGATAGGGCAATTAAAAAGCGTATGTTAGATCCTCAATCAACACTAGTACACATAGGTGGCAAAGTCATACCATTCGAATTCGCTGTTGATAAAGGTATCGTGGATGGAAGAACGGGTAGTATCATGCTTGGCGATGAAAGAGTAGATTTCCGTGAAGCGTTCGAAAGAGGTATTTTAGTTGAAGTTAGAAAGCCATTGTCTCTGATCGAAGCGCTTGAGAAAGGTGTGTACAATGATATAACAGGACTGTTTATGGACCCTCAAAGCGGTAAGAAGTATACTTTAGCTGAAGCAATTAAAATGAGTCTTATTGATCCCCATTCAGTGCACATACAGGACAACAGGTTAGGTAAATGGGATAAGATCACTTTAACCGAATCTATGGAAACTGGAGTCATTGACAACAAAACTGGCAAGATTAGAAATATCAATAACGAGAATGAGGAAATTAGTTTACGTAAAGCATTCGAAATAGGTCTACTAGTTGATAGCAAGGCTCCAATTAGTCTTCAAAGAGCATTACATCAGGGCTTGTATGACGATAGTACTGGTAAATTCATCGATCCAGCAACAAGTCGTAAAATTACTTTACACGAGGCAATAAGACGATCAATAATAAGTTCAAAATATCTTTGTTATTTCGATAAGAAATCTGAAAAACCTTTAACATTAGCGGATTGTTGTCGTAGTGAAATCGTCGATAGACGAAGCGGAAAATTCATTGAACCGGGTTCTGACGTACAAATACCATTATCTGAGGCTATGAGCTTAGGTCTCATCGTTGACATCGAAAGTGCTGGATTCAGCTTATACGAAACATTAGCCATGAATATGTATAATATAACAGAATTAGTATTTGTCCATCCCGTTACGGAAAGAAAAATTACACTTAAAACGGCTATATCTGAGGAACTTGTTAATCCAGAAATGTCCCTCGTTAAAAACATTCCATCAAGTAAATACATTAAACTAACTGAAGCCATACAAACAGGTATCATTGATGACAATAACAGTGTTTATATTCTACCAAACGGAAACCAAATTAATTTACTAGACGCTAAACATCGTGGACTTATCGTAAATTCGAAAAAACATCTTAGTCTCGAGGAAATTATTAGAAATGGATTATTCAGAGCAGACAATGGTAAAATTGTCGACCCGAACACAAACGAGTTTGTAGATATAAACAAGGCTATTGAAATCAATCTTATTAATCCTGAATTGACGGTCGTAAAAGACAGTTTCACAAATAAATTTAAACCACTGCTTGCTGCGATACAACACGGAGACGTGGACGTTACTAAAGGTAGGGTTCTAGATACAAAAGCAAAGAAAACTTATAGCTTAGATATAGCGTTCGATAAAGGACTCCTCGTCACTGTGAACCAACCTTTAACGTCACAAACTATTACTAGACGTTACGTAACTGATTCCTCGGCCTTAAATGAGCCGGTACTCAGAGAGTTCACGTTAGATGAAGCAATAAAATATGAATTCATTGATCCAAAAACAGCGTTAATTAAAGATCCTCATAAAAACAAATACATTCCATTACAATTAGGTATTACTGAAGGTATCATTGACACAAATCTTAAAGGCTCCTTCGACACACAAACTGGCAGGTCTCGTACATTATGTTTTGCTTTCGAAAACGGCTTAATAGTTTACGTTAGGGAACCTCTTACGTTTGAGCAAGCGTTAGAAAACGGCCATCTCAATCTGACTACAGCTCGATTTACTGATCCACATTCCAAGGAAGTTTTAACAGTAAAGGATGCAGCTACTTTGGGTTACATCGATTCAGACACTGCGCTGATTAAGGATAATCTCAAAAAGAGACTGGTGAAATTACCAGAAGCGTTCCGTAAAGGCCTCATGGACGCAGAAAAGGGTAACATATTAGATACGGAGACATCTAAACTTAACACTTTGTCTGCTGCAATCGAAAGTGGCCTGCTTATGACACCCAAAAAGAGCTTTACTTTGATTGAAACATTGAACTTCGGTATCTACAATCCGACGACAGGCGCTTTGAACGATCCATTTATAACGACGAGTGTAATAGATAGAAAGAGACTTACATTAGGCGAAGCAATCCATCAAGGTATTGTAGATCCATCTAGCACTGTTGTGAAGGAACCAGAGACAGGAAAGATTTGGCCATTGACTCAAGCGATTGAACAACAATTAATAAATCCAGTCGAAGGCAGGCTTATAACCGATCCACAGAAAGGGACAAGTATCGATTTAGTCAAAGCACTAAAGAAAGGACTGTTACTGCCAGCAGAAACAAGGGTAAGTTGTCTTGTATTTACTTCGTGCTTAAAGCAATGGTGTCGCTTTTGTTTCCTTTTTCGCCACTTTTAGACTGTCTATCTAAACTTAAGCCTGGCTAGAATGGCATGGCACATCAGAACAGTGTCGCAGACAATCTGGGGTTGTAGACATATTAGTATGGTTACAGTTTCTATAAATTACATTACAATCATTACATAGACGCAAAAACTTCAATTACCTTTTACAAAAGACGATTTTATGTTACATCTTAGTAGCTATGTAAAGCACATTTGAACACCCTGTAATTGTAAAATTATATACATTTTTAAATACAGCATGACACAATTTAAAATCACAATATACAATAGATTTTGTTACAGTAGCATACAGAAATAGACTGAACAAAATTATTTTAAGTAGTGAAAATACATTGTCTTGTGTTGTCCTTAGTTGCTTAAGTTTTGGTTAAATTGTTAATACAATTATCAGTTTTCTATTGAATATTTTATTAATTTCAATATTTGAAACTAAAAAAAAATAAGTTATTTATTAACACGTTTATTGCCGACTTACGTGGCGAGTTAATTTGATACAAAAATTGGGCATAAAACGTGTTGAATTAAAAAAAAATTGAAAACTGACAATTGTAATAGAAAATGCGCCTTTACACATTAGTAATAAGGCTCGATGTATGTTGTTTTTTATTTCCAGCCGTTGCCTGCGATGCTAAAGAGCCCTTTTGAGCTATATCGTGAATGCTTGCCTTTGACGGATCATATTAACGACGATACGAACCATCTACGTTTCGCCAAATATCTAACACCATTCATATTGTGCTAAGAATCCAATAGACCGGGCTATGATACCCGATTCGCTTTATTGTTTGCTTAAATCATTTAAAACCAGTGAAATATGACAGCTGGTATTTAAATTTTCATATTCTTTTATTTTCAATTTAGTCCAAAATACTCATTCCTTGGACTAATATTTGGAATGCATGAATGTTAAGGCTCGCTTCACAATTATCACGAAACGGTAAAACATAATCAACACACACATAAGGTAGTATTTCTGATTCATATAAGTATTTGTAAATACTCGTCTGAATGAGATTTCATTTCATTTATTACATTACATTATAAAATGAAATGATATCTCATTTCATATAAATTAAATGTAAATTTTACAATACGATTTATGTACATTCAAACACTCACTTTCCTAACTGTATCAAACTTTCAAAGTTGTTTTTTCCAAGTTTCAGATTTCTAAAAGGTATTGTTTTTCTATACTATTGATAACAATTAACGTTAATTAATATAAATCATTCATTACAAATGGTGCTTTCTTTGTTCTTCAAATGTCAATGAGTTAACACGTTGAATGCTACGATTCGTGTTCGCATTGTACGTGTTAACTGGCGTTTGCTCACAGCTTGCATGGATCGCTTTATTGCACGTGTCTGACGCAACAATGTGACAGGTTGTGTTTTGTCATCAACGCTGTTATCGCCTCTATGTCGTCTTCCTTCATAGATCGATCTTCGCCTCAACGTATTTGTATACGCTTCTTGCAGGTTCTTTGTCTTTTCGATCTGTATTTCCTAATCTAAGTTTATGTCGAATTTTTTATTTAGTCACTGTAATGCACTTTAGATTTGTTAGTAGTAGTTATGTACAGACTGACCGCAATATAGATAGTCGCATTGTAAGATAGCCAAGTAGCTATAGAAGTACCTGTCAATGGTCCTTCGAGACGGGTGATTTTATAAACAAATTGTAATTGATTTTTTTATATGTTCAGCAAGCGGTGGAGGAGAAGTACAGGCTTTGTGATGATACATTGTCCAAGTTGCTGGAATGGATCGCGATGGTTGAAGAGAGGTTGGCTAACCAAGAACCAGTCAAAGAGAACATGGACGAACTCCGAAACCAGATTAATGTGTTGAAGGTGTGTTTGTGGAACCTAAAATCAATTGAATTTACGAATTGATTAGTGGTTAACATTTTTGTATAATTGCAGCTGATTAAGGACGATTTAGAAAGCCATCAGCGCCAAGTCTCAGCTTGCGCGGACCAAGCTAAACAGCTTCTTGTGTCCGGAGGTGATGTTTTGGCTCCACATGAGGTAAATCTCATTTGATCTCTCAAATTTTGATGGTTATTTGAACACTTGTACTAAGATATGAAATGTTCTAGGTGGCAGCTCTTGAACGAGGAGTGCGTCAACTGAAGCAGAGATTCGACAGATGTACGGAACGATGCGACAAGATGCTGAGAAGACTTGCTGCCGCAAGAGATGAGCTCGGAAAATTCACGTAAATTACTATATTTTATACTTTACTTGTCATGAATTAGTTTATTGCTGGATAAAGTAGAAACAAGATTGAAATTGATCCTGCGAATTAGTTACATCGTATCGTTGGTCCTTCAAGCAGGATTTCAAATGTAACTATCTTTGCAGGAATGAACTGAACACCTTTGAGTCGTGGATGGACGGTGCTTACCGTAACTTGGAGGATAAGGAAGCAGCTTTATCCAACTTGGACAACTTGCCGGCGCACAGCGAGGAGGTGCGCGAGTTCGTTTCGGATGTGATCGCGCACCAGGCCGACATCAGGTTTATAACCATGGCCGCGCAGAAGTTTATCGATGAAAGCAAGGTTTGTGTTTGATTATTTAGTAAAAGTAACAACTTGTCTTTTCTATTGTTATTTCTAGACGACAATATCACTATTTTGTTTCGTTTAGTTTCGAATTGTCCACAAGAGTTACGAGTTACGTTTGGCAAAATCAATTCAACGCATTGTGGGTGATAGAAAAAAATAAAAAAGCTGTAAAAAATATAAATTACTGTCTATACTTAATTATTATTTTGTGATACTGATTTTGTATGTTTTATACTTCTTATATCAAAGACATGCATTTCTTTAGGACCGTTTGCCTGGAATTAAAAGAAAACAAAAGTGCCTAGCCTATGTTTTCTTTCAGACTATTCTCTACATCTATACCGAATTTCATCGAAATCCGTTTAGCTGTTTAGGCTACAAACTTAAAAAACATCCAACTTTCGCATTTATACTATTAGTATGATATATTTATATATTTTCTAGGAATTCGTAAGTATAGTGAACGAGCAGCGTGCGTCTTTGGAGTCCCGTTCCGCGCCGCTGTCAGCC